CAGCCATGGTCATCCCATTCCCTGTGGGAAGAAGCCAAGGTGAAAACCAACATCAGGTAATGTGTATTTTTCCTATAAATATTCAGTACTTTCGCTTCAGCTTTAAATTCTTCCTCTGTTGAGCTAATATGGCCACACATCTATTATTTGTTTGCTCTAAGTGATATTTTTAAAAATTCTGTATGTTAGTCTTAATTCTCCTTGCCAGTTTGCAGCTTTTTAATCAGCTTTACAAGACACTCTGCTTCTGGTCAAGTGATAATTTTCTCCAAAGAGGGTCCCAAGCAGATCTTGGTCATGCAAAAAAAAACAAAACCAACTTTGAAGCTCATGATGACCCAAGCAGCACCGTGAGAAGAAGGAAAAAGCTTAGGCTAATTTCACTAGGTGAAGTAGCAAACTGTTTTCCTACTGAGTCTGACATGAATTTGAGCTGCTACATGGAAAAATCCAGGATCTGATAGTTCTTGATTTTCCTGTGTTGAAAATAAGGAGGCGTTTAGCTCATTTGCAAAGTCCCATGGTCTGTGAAAAATAAGAAACCAAGGAAAAACATGTTTTGAAAAGAAATTAATTTAATACAAGTAACCTTCTGAAGGAAAAGTTCAACTCACAATGAAGAAAGAAATCTTCCTAGTAGGTCTCACAAAAATCTTTGCAAACCTAATGCTTTTTTTGCTCCCCCCTGAATTTCTAAAAAGCACCAAAACCCCATTATGCTTTCAATAATGAAATTTATACAATTCAATTCATTTGAAGAAATCCCTGTAAGTAAGGACAGGGTTATGCCACCAAGCAAGAAAACACAATAAGAATGGCTCTGCAGAACAAAACCATTCATTTTGAAAATAAGCACATGGGTGCAGGGAGGGTCCTTAGACTAACTGTAGTCTGCTTTTGTGATTAAAAGACCCATGAGGTGGTGAAGTGTGTAAACTGTGTTCTGAAGCTTGCATTGTGATTTAGTTTCATAAAGAAGAAATCCAGCTTTTATAATTCCAAGATCGCTCTCTGAAGCTGCACAGAGCACAGTAACTGTGGATGATCTGGAGGTTCACACAGGATCAAAAACAACACAAACCAAGGTAAGCATAACTTCTAGAAAGTCAGAAAATAGAAAAAGGTTGTCATAGTTTTATCTACATTAATGATCTCAGTAGTCTTAGAAGAGTTTGGCTGAGTTTATATCTATATGGTTTGTTAAAATACAGATTCAGTTGGTTAAAATGGTTTTTACATTGCAAGCCCATGTAGAATTTTAACCTAAATTTTATCTTTTGAAATACAGAAACATCCTGCCCTTTCTTAATATTTATGTAAAATGTTCAGTTACCCAGCTATTTTATTTCCATTACAGTTCAGAAGTACTTTCAGGACAGAGGTTTTAATAAAAACAAGTATAGCAACATCCTAATCTTATCTCAAAATTGTTAATGGCACACAACCTCAAAATATTTGAATTTCAAGACACTCAGGGAATAAGGGAGATAAGTTTATTTTGCTTCTGATTTTTTCATCATCTGTAGTCTCATGTGGACTAGCACAGCCATCAGGGAGTATAGTCAGGTAATTCATCCTGTACAATTAGTTTCAAAATGATAAAATTCTGCTGGTGAATGTCTGTATGTACAGCATTCAGCTTTGCTACACCAAAAAAAAGGTGTTACTTTATACTACTGATCCATATAGCCAGACAATGAGACTGTGGAAACACTAAAAAATTAAAATAAAGACTGAGAGTGAGCCATTTCATGGTCACATTTGGAAGTGCAAATTATGGTCTTTGAAGACAAACAAAACACTTTTATTGGCACAATTCAAAGTGTCAGACACTTGATTTCCATATGCTATGACACAATAAAAATTGTAAATCTTCAGCCTTACTCATGACTGTAACCAACAGTGAGTGACTAATGATAACACATTAACATCACAGTTTCAACTAAGCTGACTTTATATGATAATTTATGTAGTTCTGATAAATGTGTTGGCTAAATGTAAATAAATTGTTTCATGGAATTAGTCAAAGACCTAATGCTCACTGGAATTTGTAAAGTTTCATCTGGGTCTCTTTTCAGAATACTCTCAAAATTGTAGTTTGGCAGAAGACCTTAGATATTTTTATCAAATTAGACTATCTAACCTCTCAAAGAGGTGGTGGAGTCCAGCAGTCACAGGCTAGAGAGGTTAAAGAGATTCCTTGAACAGTAGGGACTGCAAAACCTCATGCAGCAAATATATCCCTATAATCCCTGGAGAAAATCAGGCCAAAATATACCAGTGAGCATAGCTCTCATAAGGTCAAACCCCTGGAAACTCCTTTGCCTTTCTAATTTTGTTACTGTTCCCAATATAAAAGAATAGTGAATGATGTACTTAAACTAAAACTACTGAACGTATAACCTGCACAAAAACTTAGATGAAAAGTTATGCTTCTGTAAATATTCAGCTGAGAAGGCCAGGAAATTCATGAACATGCTTAAGCCAGGAGAGAAAACTAGACCTAGCAGCTACAGGAAAATATAGAGAATTTAGTAGCCGTCCCAGATTGTTCTGGTGCTTTCACTTACAGAATCTTTACAGTCATCTTGAAACAACAGAGATTTTGGTCTTGGCTTGTTCGTGTATTTTGTTAGCATCCTCAGAATATGCTTGCAAACAGGAGTCACAAAAGGAATGTCTCACATCAGCCCAGATTCTGATGAGTCATTTAGTAAATTTCATTCCCATCCACAATTCATCATCACTTGTGGAAATGTATGTGAAACCATTATAAAAAACAAAGAGAACCCCTATTCCATCAGTTTAATCTTCATTAAATATCTGAAATAAAAAGAAATAGTTTTAAAAAAGTTTAAGCATGTGATTCATGATGTTATAGTGATAATTAGTTTTGATGTGATGAAGCATTTTCATATATCAAGCTGTACTTGGAGTATGAATACTGGAAAAGTATCGAGTTTTACCTTCTATTTTCCACATATAAAAGAAGCCTTAGCAGAACATAAGAACTGAACATAAAGTTTCTTATTTTTCTTCTTCAACTTAGCTTTTATATAGTAAACAGTTATTGTATACTGTTAAAGTGAAATATTGAAATAATTTAATTAACCTTTTTTGACCTCTGTAAAATGCAAAAGCTATAAATATGGAGCAAATCAAATTGAGTTCTGCTGTAGGCAAGAAACCAGCCTCCAGTGGATTGCCTGCTGCTCAGATAGCATTTGCTAATTTCAGTCTTTATACTTCCACAGGAAAAACTGAGGGTACACACACAGTACAGTTGTGTTTAGTGATTTTCTAGAGTTTGGTGTTATAAAAATTATGCTGATCTTAAAAAAGGAGATATAGCTTAATCCAATTAATTCAGGCAGAGTTAAATCTCTGTTTTAAGTGAAAAGTTTCAGACAACTAAAATCCAGAAGAAGAATTTTTTAAATGACATTTTGTATGTGTGCCTACTTACCACTATTTCCATACACAGCCTCTAGCAAGGGATAATTTTCAGCTCATTCTAATCTTATCATCTGTCACTGGAAAAATCACTGACAATAGGCTACAACACAGTCCTGATATTAATAAAAAAACCTCAGGACCCATAATTTAGAGCCATAAGAACCAAAAATCTTATTGTACATGTCATTATTTTAAAGTTAGTACCATCTTCTAACACTTGAATTATTAATGGCAACTGAATGCACTTGCGAAAAACCAATTTTGTGATTATTAGAGAATTTAGATTTGCTTTAACAAGTGCATGCACCTTGAAAACCTTTTTATGGTTTCTTGTGCCTCTCTGTCATAAATATGTTCCCTTCTACCTCTTATATCTCACTGCTTTAGAAACTTGAATTTTGGAATCCATTAAACCTTCTGTATTATAGTTTTTTTATGGCTGCAACACACTTTTTAAAATTCTTAATTCTGTTTTTCACCTAGGAGCAAACTCTGATTCCATTGTCCTTTATCACAATAGCAAGTGCCATTTACTGCATTTTTATGTTTTAAAAGCATTAAAAACTATGCTGTGTTCACTTCTTAATATGCCATGTTCACTAAACAACATATCAGCAGTCTAGAATAACATTTCATAAAAAAACAAATCTAGAAAACTTATAAACATTGTATTCCATATATTTCTGTGATTCACATGCATTTCAATGTGATCTTGACTAACAAAATTCTGCTTTAAAAAAATATTTATTTACATGCAAAACAATGTAGCAATTACAGTAACAAACACCTCTCACCTACTCTGAAACAGCAGTCTAACAGACTGACAAGTTGTTGCAGTTTGCATAAATCTTTTTGGTTTACTTCTTTCCCCATACATTTCCACTATTTTTCTTCCAAAGATAGGTGAAGTCAGTTCCATAGTTTGAGCCAGTAACAAGCTGCAATGTAAGTCATTATTTATCTTAGTAGTCATAATGTCTGTGTCCATTTGTGATTTATTGGATTAATACAAGAGATTCACAATCTTCAGGGTAAAAAAAAAATAATAATCCTGGAACTTTCACTGACTTCATTCATGATGATTATGCTTCTGAGATATAACAGATTTAAAGTGTTAGGCAAATATTTCAACTACATCAAAGCTAGTAAGCTAATAAAAAAAAAAAAGTAAATAACTGAATCCTAATAAATGACCAATAGGTACACAAAGCCATATTAACATCACTAAAATTGAAAAATCAAAGGCTTAAGAAATGCCAGGATCCAGAATTGCCTATGCAACTTTAATTTGTCCTCGTTCTGCAGATACATTATAATGAAGTATTTAATTAAGATTAATGTCAAAGGTAACCACTAATTCCAAGTGGCCAATTTTCATTACACAGCTCTGCGTGTTCTTAGTCCAGTTCACACCGGCTTTAGGATGTCTGCAGTACTTCACATTTCTGCAGATAAGGCTCTTTGGTACGAAGTGAGGAGCTGAGAAAATGAGCATTAATATCAATTTATTAGCACTGTAAAAACATTTGGTCTGAGTGACTTACCTAACATCAGAGAGGAACTCTGAGGCATAGTGAAACATAATCCAGTTCTCAAAGGCCTCATTTAGTTACTCAGAGACTGTCTTTTCCTCTTTTCTCAGACCTCTGCCATATTGAATACATATTTTCTGGTTTTCCTGCAGTTAATGAATTAGAGATTGTATCTATCAGTGTCTCCCTTCTCCCCAAACCCATGAATCATCCCCAGAGCCTCTTCCTGGGCTGACTGAGCCCAAGGCTTTGTGTTATGTGGAGGAGGGGTGGAACAGGACAACAGATGGACAAGGCATGGAATAAAACAGAAGGAAGAGCTGCTAGGCAGTTTTAGTTCATCATATAAAAATGCAAAAGCAACATAAAGTTTGCTTAACTAACAAGTTCATTTCTTTCGTTATGACCATCTCCTAACTGTAAAATCCTTATGTACAGTAAATGTATGTATTTCCCTGAAATTCATGGAAGTGAATGAGGGAGAAAAAATGTTCTCACATTGATATCCATGCTGATTATCAGAAGGCATAGAGCCTTTAAATCCACCTGACATCTTTTCATGTCAACTCATCAGTTAGGGAGTGGTAGTGGTATAGAAAATTATTGTTTCCTAGAGAAGAAAGTAACTTCATAAATACTTGTTCATGAATCTCAGATATTTACTAAAAGCAGATGGATTATGAAAGTGAGATACAAAGTGAGTATTAGGCCTTGCAAAACAATCTGGATACCGACATTTCTTCTTTTTATTTAAAGCCTGAAGTTTTCTTATTCTCCTAGTTTATCTCATCTATCAGTAGCTACTTTAATCATTCACCTTGCCATTCCTCTGGCTTCTCAGCTCATGCTTTCTAAGTTGTGCTATTTAAATCTTGACTTTTTTCTTTCTGTTCTTTGTCTCTTCTTTTTTCTGCTCTCACCTTTTTTACTGTTGCACTTTATTTTCTGATTTTTAATCACCACACAGTTCCCTTTGTTACTTGTTTTCTGGTCTTGACTCATGCTCCCCCTCCCATAGCTCCTCAGTCAATTTTCTGGACTCAGGGATTTTAAGTTTCTCTTTGAAGCTTTATTCTGCCTTCAGATTTATCTTATCCTTCTTATTTCCTAGATAATCTGGTCCTAAGTTCCTCACCTGGATGACACAAACTCCTTCCATTCTGGGGTCTCAACATGTTCTCATCACCTTGGTTGTCCTTAATAACAATTTATCTTCCCTCAGATTTCAACCTCAGCCTTATGCCAGCCTTTTTCATGCGTTCAACCTATAATTTAAAGTCCTAATTTTACCCTGACCTTCCATCACACTTGTACTTTTCTAGAGCTAGTCTCCCAAAATAATTTGTCTGAATATACTTTACCTTCCTCCCTGGTGGATTTTTCCTCTGTTCTTTTTTTTTTTTTTTTTTTTTTGTACCACATGACATCCTTTTGATTCTGCCTAGCGTCAGCAGATCAAAAGATGACACAAATCTCTGAAACCAAAGACCTGGATCTATTTCCAACTCCTTGGGAGCTGTGGTGTCTCAGACTACATCTGCTGGGAATTAACAAGAAGGAAAGGTGAGGCAGGGATGCCCAGCACCCACAGCCCAGTCTCACAGTGCTGGAGCAAGGACAGACCCAGAGGTTTCAGCAGAGCCCAGCCAGGCTGTGAGGCAACATCAGAGTGCAGGAGCAGGTCAGAGATCACACTGAGAAGGCCAAGGTTGGGATCAGCGCTCACAGCATCAAGCAATTGATTGAAATCTGGCTCAAAATCTTCCATAACCAAATAGGAGTAGGACTGAGCTGGAGACATGCACTGTCCTAACACAGCTCAGCTCAAACAGAGCTCCTGAGCCCACGGGTGTGGGTGGAGACCCCAGGTGAACAGGAACATTAGGGGTTATTAAAGCCCTCAGAATCCTGACTGAACAGAAGAGCAAAAACTGGAGCACACAATTTCTCAGATTCCCTGGTTTCTTTGGTGTGCAAGCCAGGTCTTCAATAAGTGTGATTGTGGCATCAGAAGTGGTTAGAAACAGGTCAAACAGACTTTGCTCTTTCTGCTCCTAACTGTGGTACCTAACACCACCCATCTGACAGAATTACAGTCTCATTCCCACTGCTGGAAAGAGCACTGGTAATCCAGTCTAGCTGTGTTTCATTGCTAGATCATCTAATTCTTAGGAGACTGTTGAGCAGAGACAGAATACATAGAAATAATAAAGGCTATAATCTTTAAAGTCAGTTGTGTGCATTTTTTTATTTCCCTGAGGCTTATGCCGTGGGCCAATTTTCATAGACAGCAAAAGAAATACTCTTTTCAGAAAGGTCCTCTGAATTCTTAGAGCTGTGTTTTAAAAAGCATTGATGTGCTTGAACAAATATTTTAGGAGTCTTTAGTATGGGCAAACGGATGTATTTGTTCAATTCTGAGTCTTATTCTGGTTCAGTTAAAATACTTTGACTTGTATTTGAAAACATTTTCAATTTAGGATGCACTAACATGAGAATCTTAGTCTCAAAGAACCCAAATGTTGGATATAAATATCCAGAGCCTCCTTTATCCTAGTGGAACATGTGAGAAAATCATTGTACTGAACTAACTGGAGCTGTTCTTCAGAAAGTAAAAGGGATGACATGATGTTCTACAGAAGGAACTACTCCCTTCTTACTGAGTTTTTGAATACTTTTTTGTCACTTCAGCTGAGTGCAAGAGAGGTTTTGTGCAACACATCACATAATCTCTGCATAAGTAATAAAAGGCAAAGCAATTAAAAATTACAAAATATTAGAAATAAAAAATTAATTAGATCATTGGATAAATACATATTGCTCAGATGTATTCTAAACTATATGCAAATCTGTACAAACATAATTAAAACACGAGTGTCTAGTTAATTCCATGTATTAATATGTTTTTGTGGCTAATTGTGACATGCATTGCACAGAATCACCTGATATTCTGCATTGGAAGGGCCCCACAAGGATCATAGAATGACAGAATCAGAGAATATCCTGAGTTGGAAGGGTTCCATCAGGGTCATTGAGTGCAACTCCTGGCCCTGCACAGGACACCCCAAGAGTCACACCATGTGCCTCAGTTGTCCAGGTGCTTCTTGAGCTCTGTCAGGCTGGGTGCTGTAACCACTGCCCTGGGGTTCCAGTGCCCAGCCACCCTCTGCATTCCACAATGTGGCTGCAATATTTTTAAAACCATAAGGAGATAATGTTACAAAAGCTGTTAAAGTTGTGTAACTCCCCAATTCTGTCGTTTTGGGTAGGGAAGTAACATTTCTTCAAGCAGTAATTCTTGGCTGAGGGTGAGAAGGCATAGGAAAGCACACACTTCTGCTAATTATCAAACACTCTAGGAAGAGGGAGACCTAAGTAGAATTTATGGAGAATCATGTTAACAGCACCATTTTTTCTGTGTCTCTATTCCACAAATTATATGGATGAGAGGTCAGGTAATGAATAAGATAATTCTGCTTCCACTCATCATTGGTAATTCTCTTCTGCAATTATATTCACCAACTCGAAATGTAGATTAGGTATTTTTCAATGAGAATGATACCAGTGAGGTTTGACCTTGGTTTACTTTGCATTGGCATTGCATTGACAGGGTTGTTTTATAGACTTTTTTCTACTCCAAAAGTCTGTGAAATATCTCACATTTATAATTGCTTTATAAATGGGACTTCATCCCACACATATTTTATATGTAGTATTCCCAGCATGCAATTCCTTTTACTTGCTTCATCTTACTAACTAACACAGAACAAAATTTCACTGAATTCATAATATTGCTCTGGAACTGATACATTCTGTATATTTACACACCAATATGTTTTATGGAAATGAACACATTTCTTCTCTGGAGCATATTTTCAAACTTCAATTGCTCTTTACTGAAGCCAATTTTTTTTTTCAAACAAAAAAAAAATGTGCAATGCGTTTCATGTCTATATATTTTTATTCACGCCAATATATTTTCACAGTTGGATAGATTTAACTAAATTAGTAGTTACAGTATTTGTTCAAACCATTGCATTTTTGCTGGCATCTGGTAAGTAAATGTTATCTGGGCTTTTTTTTATTTTAGTAATCAGCTTCCACCAAACCCAAACCATGAAAAACAACATCGACTTACCTCAACCACTCAAAATTTCTCACCCCAAAGAGCAACAAAACCAAACAAAACCTCAACTCTTCTGCTGCAGCTGCTGAAACACAGTAAAAAGCAGTGCAAAAGGGAAATGCACAGACTCCAGGGATGAACTGTGGTGCTCTGATTTCCACATGGGCCAGGAATGGTGCACTGGGCAGGGAAATCTCATTTCCTGTGATCCCTGCTGGATCTAGGGATGCTCCACATGAGGGAAGCTCATGGTGGGGCAAAAAGAAGCATTAAGCACTTGTTAAGGACAAATGCAAGAGGCTGCTAGACAGCCAGAGATTTCTTCAAGGCTAAGGGGCAGCTGCAGTGCGGTTTTCTCACAAGATTTTTTCGTACTGAAACACGTAAATAAATCTTACTTTCCAAACTGCTGTTTCAAATGTGATCATGAGTGGTTAGCAGTTTTGCAGCTCAGGATAGAATCTATCTCTAACTTCTGTCACCTTGCCTTTTCCTTATTTCCTGTGGGGCTTTTTTAGTTGGTTTTAGTATTCTGCAACCATATTGTGACTACTTCTTTGCAACCCTCTAGATTATACAAAATTTAACCTAAAATATATATTATAGGACATAGCATAGAACAATTGTTTCTAGAGCTATGTTTCCCAGCTTGTAACACTGGAAGTTTCTCTCTCCATAAATTCTCTATATGTCTTCCACCATAATATTTTGCCTAATAAATGTTTTCCTTGGGTTTCCCCTCCCTAATCACTGACTACTGATGCTATCAAGGAGCATCATTACAAAAACATGATTATCCCTTCAGATTTTGTTTGTCCTTCAGGGCAAACTCTAGAGGTACTCTAGAAGAGGTGGAGTTCAGCTGTTGTCTTGGGGTGGTTTTATGATAAACTGGGGAACTTGTTATTTACCAATTCAGTGAGAGGAAATACCTGAGGACTCCTTCTGAATCACGTTTGGGGATTAAACTATTTTGCTTTGTTTAGCATCAGGAATATTTGTACATGTCAGCTTGGTGAGTAACAGGATAATGCAGAAGAACATTTTTCTGTTTGTGATAGAATGTCTGCCTTCTGCATCTGATTTTCAGAGTTATCTCTTATTGGTATTTTAGGGTATTACTCTTTACTCTGTTCTGAAGTGTGTTTCCTCAAGAATCCCTCTTGCCCTTTTGGTCTGGAAGCATTGGAGCTTCGGGCCATGCTGCCCCACAGACCAATTGAAAAG